GCTGATTATGTTGGTTGATAAATCTCTGAGCCTTTGTGTCTTTTTTATTACTGAGTAATTAAGATTCTGCAAGAGGCCCTGTTGTAAAGGCCCTGTTGCCTTTATCTTGTCAGTAAAGTGTCTCCTCATCTTCCCTGACTGCCTTTTGTCTTCTGTTTATTGAAAACAAGCGCCTGCCAGGAATGTTAATGCTTCACCTCTTGAGAAAGAGAAAAGTGAAAACAAAAGTTCACGAATCATTTCTTCCAGGGTAAACCTAAAATAAAACCTAAAATGTGTATTTTTTTCATCCCATCTAAATCCTGGTATTTGATGTAAATGGCTGAGAGATCCTAAACGTGTGAGGGTTCTCGTCAAGGCCTTGTGAAAAATGAACGAATGGCCCTTTTTATTTTCTTGTGCACTGTGAGGTGAAAATATATATTTCATTTTGAAATTGCCTTTAATTCTTTTCTTAAATGTTAATGACACCTGCTGGAAAATGTCTTTGAGAATGGATGACTGCAGCCTGCTTCCACACCAAGCATCACGTCTGAACATCCGTGTCTCGGCGGTCCAGCTCCCACAGTACATCTCGGCTGCTGGCTGTGCCAGCCTCACAGCGCCTGGGTGATGTAACTCACACTGGCATTGGCTGCGACTTGGCTCTGCACCCCAAAATGACAGCGCACTGTACGCCTCTTTTGGCTCCCATCACAACAGCTCTGCTTTCAGTCCCCAAAAAAACAGCGAAACAAAGAGGGTGCTGTCAGTTTGGATGACACAAGAGATCATCTTACAGAGCACCGAGTCAATGCAGCCTCTTCAAACTCATACTGTATCGTTTAACGCTAAAACACCAGCTGACAGCTGACTAAGTGCTTCGCTGTTATTGCTTTAAATCACACACACCACAATTTGAAGGAAGCTCTGGTCCTGGAGGAGTAGTTGGTTTCTAACGGGGCAAATCAAAGCTGGAACTGATCCACATAAAAACAGAGACTGGACAGCAAAGTAGATGTTTCTGCAGCTAAAACCTGATAACTCTAACTTATCTGATCATTTCACTAAAGTATGTTACTTTTATTTTGCTTCTTAAAACAAGTGCACACTACAAACCATGTGTTTTTTTATTTTTATTTTGAAAAGGACATCTATAAGTCATAAACATTGCAGGTCCATTATGGTTTGAAACTACAACCCATGTTGCAACAGAGGGATGCACATCACCCGCAGCCTTTCATGACAGGGATGTTGATTAAAGATGGCCGCCACAGCTATGTCTCGCGAGATGTATTAATGCTCAGAGTATGTGTTGAGGATAACGTATAAAACTTCACCTCATTGTGTGTAATAAGTTACAGCCATCCAAACCTAGAGTAGCTGTGGCAGCCATCTTGAACTGGGTTGAGTCCAACTGTCATTTGTAATTCATCCAATGATTTCTGACAGTTTCATTCAAATAAACAAACAAAGCACATTATCACTGCCATTAATAAAAGTATCTACCTGTCAATCATCCGAACAGGTAAACAACTGTCAGCTAACAAGTGCGAGGGAACCAAAGTGAATTTACAGCAGCTAAAAGAGGCAGTAACCTTGTCTGGGCAGGCCAGAAATAAACTACACAGCAACTTTTCCAAAACCTGCTGCCTGTATATAAAAACACAACACAATGACAAACCAGGAGAGAGGTCTGTGATGGAAAAGTGGCACCCTGCAGCTCTGATGTATGTGCTGCAGAAAACCCAGGATGGATTCAGCACCAACCATCAGGTCAAGATGCTGCTGTTGTTTTAGCTGCTGGTGAAAAACAATAAAACTTAAATAATCCTCGATTATCGTGGCTGTGAACTGGGAAGCTGTGCTGATCTGATCCAGCTTCTGAATGAACAAATACTCAAGTTTCCAAAAAAAAAAAAAACACCATTAGAAAAATTAAATTAAACAACAGCAGAATTTACTCTGAATAAGAAGGCGGAGCTGTTGTTTTAATTTAATTTAATTTAATTTAATTTAATTCAAAACCGAGCAATCAAATCAGCAGCAGCCGCCTTATTATTTATTATTTCTTTATTTATTATTTGTAGCAGAAATACATAAACAGGTGATGAGGATGCGCAGCTCGTGGAGTGAATTTCAAATCAGAACAACACGGACTCACCCAGAAGATGAAGTTGAAGACGAACAGCAGATATTTCACGCACTTCATCCCTCCCTGCACTTTGCTCATGATGCCGCCGGATTTGTCGATATTTCTGATCCGAAATGTTTGATTTTAATTTATTTTATTGAGCTAATCGTCGCTTTTAGTCGCTGGAACATCAGCAAATACACTGAGGAGGACCTGCCCCTTTACACCGCGCAGCTCACATGTGCGCATGCGCACAACGAGCTACCTCTCGCACCGCCCACTGTGAGTGTGTGTGTGTGTGTGTGTGTGTGTGTGTGCGTGCGTGCGTGTGTGTGTGTGAGACGGGGTACATGGATCATAGACTTTGAAGCTACAGTCAAAGGAGCGCAGTGGAGACTGATGTTACCACACTCGAATAAGACTTTTTAGATTCAACGGTCTGTTAGCAAAATATCTCATGAACCACTGGAAGTGTTTTAAAGAAATTTAAAGGATATCATCGCTGGATGTACAACTAAAACCCATTAACTTTTGAAAGAAACCCAATTCAAGATGACCATCATAACATGCACACTTTAGAAAACTCAAAACTACATATAAATAAGGCAAGTTTACATATATTGTGACACAGTTAAGTGAGAGTGTAGCTGAGAGCAATTCACAAGACATACTGCAAGTGCTCCTCATTGTGCAAATGCTTTGTTTAAAGTTTGTGCAATAGCTGTTGCACTCAGTCCTGTCTATCTGTTAGCAAAATATCTCATGCAACACTGTACGTATTTTAATAAAAATTTCAAGGAATAATCACTGGGTGCACATCTACAACTGATTCCCTTTGGGAGTTGATCTTCTTCAACATGGCCTCTATAGCTCATCATCTTTAGCCAACACATAAGTGGCTATATCTCAGACAGTTTACAGACTTTGAGCTTCAACTTGATGCGATCGTAGCCAAGTGCCGTTAAAAATTCTTCCTCTAAATGTGAGCTCTTGTGCTCAATGCTACGTTCAAGGTTTGACCAAAGTGGCAACAACGTTCTCATTTTTCAACATAGGATGATTTTGTGGCGTGAAAAGTGACAGGAGATATGCGCTTCCTTAACAAATGAGATGTAAATTGTGACAAAAATAGTTTGTATGACTAACCATAGAACAAGCCATGTGATTCAGGGCTTTACAGAAGTGGCATTTAGCAAATTGTGCTATGTTTAGGCTAATTTTAACTTCAGCTGTTGTAGACCTGAGCAACTAGCCGACAGGAAGCCAGAGTCTCTCATGTGACCTTTATGTTCTCCTCCTGAGATATCAGTGTTTATTCTGAAAATACAGCCTTGTCTTGTTGGTACTAGACACAGACTGAGCAAGACGACACAGCCAGATTATAAAACTACAGATAAGAATACAGATTATTAGCAGCTGAACTGGAATGATGGAGGTATTTGTAGAAGAAGAACCCTGAGATTGAAGTTTTTATAGTTAATTTTAATATAACTACTGGTTGTTGTGGTGTCAGAAGAGATGATTTATTGTGGTTGTTTGGGTGGTTTTGTTCACATGTCGTGGTTCTTTTCTCTTAGAAATGTTTTTGAGAAGAAAATGTTTTTTCTTTGGGCAGTGGGAGGAAGGTGGAGCTCCTGGGGAAAGCAACAAATGAATCATTCAAGCCCCACACAGAAACATGCCAGAAGACGTGCTGTGAGTGGAGGTCACCGTGCTGCCCCCTCCTCATTGTGCTGTTTTCACGGCTGCTTCTGGCTCCATCCATCACGCTCCCCTGTGTGGCATCAGAAGATGAGTTTTACCTCCATTCAGTTTCTGGGAACGCCGTGTTAAGAATTAATGAAAGGACGTTGATTTAATCAAAGCACAACACTTTAAAATAATATATTAAATGATAAAATTTTAGACCAAAATGTTAAAAGTTCCATTTTCTTCTGCGTCTTTGCTTTTATTTTCAACATCTCCATCTTCTACTGTTTGGTCGTTATCAGGAGGCAACAGGTTTAGGAGAGAAACCCAGTATCCTTCTCCCCAGCGACACTCTCCAGTTCCTCCTGGGGAACCCTGAGTCGTTCCCATCCCAGCAGAAATACACAGTTCCTCCAGTGACTTCTGCCTCTAGGCCTCTTACCAGTGGGACATGCCCAGAAAACCTCCACAGTGTTCAGGAGGCGTCCTAATCAGATGCCCAAACCATCATATCTACTCTTCTATGCAAAGGAGCAGCAGCTCTACACCGTTTTATTGTTCGTTATCCAAACTTCATAACCAAAAGTGAAGGTTTTAACGTAGACAAACCAGTAAAGTGAGAGCTTTGTCTTTTGATACTCGTTCTTTCTTCACACTGAGAATGAAACTCCAATCCATCAATCCATCACTCATGAACAAGACATGAGTCTCCACCTGACGAGACCAGTGTCATTTAAAGCAAATGTAATTTAAAGAATGACATTTTTGTTTGATTATTCTTTTGCATCTGATGATCAGTTTCATCATTCTGTCAGTATTTAACTGAAATCACTGCTGCAGTCGGAGTCTCATTGGACACACAGTTCTGCATCACAAATAAACAAATATTGTATACATCGTTCTGAAAGTTCCAGGTTTCTCTTCAATGTTTTCCTTATTTCCTGTTCGTGTTACTTCCGCTCCACCTGGGTGTATCTCACGTGTGATGGGTTAAATGCAGAGAACTAATCTCACCATTTCTCACCATTGTATGGGAACATACAATGGTGACAACACATAGCACTTTATTTTACTTTACTTTACTTTACTTTACTGTGTGCAAACTTCTGCTAACATCAAGAAAACATGGATTGTTTGTTGATCCCGCACTTTATTTGCAGGGAAATGTCTGAGTGTGAGGCCTTCCTCTGCCCAATATGGCTCATTACCAAAGCTCTCCTTTGTCATCTCTGGCTATGTGTGTGTGGGGGTGGGGGGGGGAGGGAGGGGGGGTCGTCATCTTGCCCCCCTCCCCCCCACTCCATGTTTGTGCTGCCTTTCTTTGCTGAGTTCATGTGGGAGGAGGAAAACAGCGACACCACTGTTTGAGATTTATCATGAGACTCACATCACCACCTACTGCCTCTATTTATAGATAGATAGATAGATAGATAGATAGATAGATAGATAGATAGATA